TCAGCGTCACAAATCTCACGCAAATCTTACTCAGCGTCACAAATCTCATGCAAATCTTACTCAGCGTCACAAATCTCACGCAAATCTTACTCAGCATCACAAATCTCACGCAAATCTTACTCAGCGTCACAAATCTCACACAAATCTTACTCAGCGTGACAAATCTCACACAAATCTTACTCAGCGTCACAAATCTTACACAAATCTTTCTCAGCGTCACAAATCTCACACAAATCTTACTCAGCGTCACAAATCTCACACAAATCTTACTCAGCGTCACAAATCTCACACAAATCTTACTCAGCGTCACAAATCTCACACAAATCTTACTCAGCGTCACAAATCTCACACAAATCTTACTCAGCGTCACAAATTTCACACAAATCTTACTCAGCGTCACAAATCTCACACAAATCTTACTCAGCGTCACAAATCTCACACAAATCTTACTCAGCGTCACAAATCTCACACAAATCTTACTCAGTGTCACAAATCTCACGCAAATCTTACTCAGCATCACAAATATCACACAAATCTTACTCAGCGTCACAAATCTCACACAAATCGTACTCAAGCATCACAAATCTCACACAAATCTTACTCAGCGTCACAAATCTCACACAAATCTTACTCAGCGTCACAAATCTCACACAAATCTTACTCAGCGTCACAAATCTCACACAAATCTTACTCAGTGTCACAAATCTCACGCAAATCTTACTCAGCGTCACAAATGTCACACAAATCTTACTCAGCGTCACAAAATCTCACACAAATCTTACTCAGCGTCACAAATCTCACACAAATCTTACTCAGCGTCACAAATCTCACACAAATCTTACTCAGCTGTCACAAATCTCACGCCAAATCTACTCAGCGTCACAAATTCACACAAATCTTACTCAGCGTCACAAATCTCACACAAATCGTACTCAGCGTCACAAATCTCACACAAATCTTACTCAGCGTCACAAATCTCACACACATCTTACTCAGACGTCACAAATCTCACACAAATCTTACTCAGCGTCACAAATCTCACACAAATCTTACTCAGCGTCACAAATCTCACACAAATCGTACTCAGCGTCACAAATCTCCACAAATCTTACTCAGCATCACAAATCTCACACACATCTTACTCAGCGTCACAAATCTCACACAAATCTTACTCAGCCATCACAAATCTCACGCAAATCTTACTCAGCGTCACAAATCTCCACACAAATCTTACTCAGCGTGACAAATCTCACACAAATCTTACTCAGCGTCTCAAATCTTACACAAATCTTTCTCAGCGTCACAAATCTCACACAAATCTTACTCAGCGTCACAAATCTCACACAAATCTTACTCAGCGTCACAAATCTCACACAAATCTTACTCAGCATCACAAATCTCACACAAATCTTACTCAGCGTCACAAATCTCACACAAATCTTACTCAGCGTCACAAATCTCACACAAATCTTACTCAGCGTCACAAATCTCACACAAATCTTACTCAACGTCACAAATCTCACACAAATCTTACTCAGTGTCACAAATCTCACACAAATCTTACTCAGCGTCACAAATCTACACAAATCTTACTCAGCGTCACAAATCTCACACAAATCTTTCTCAGCGTCACAAATCTCACACAAATCTTACTCAGCGTCACAAATCTCACGCAAATCTTACTCAGCGTCACAAATCTCACGCAAATCTTACTCAGCGTCACAAATCTCACGCAAATCTTACTCAGCGTCACAAATCTCACGCAAATCTTACTCAGCGTCACAAATCTCACGCAAATCTTACTCAGCGTCACAAATCTCACACAAATCTTACTCAGCGTAACAAATCTCACACAAATCTTACTCAGCGTCACAAAATCTCACACAAATCTTACTCAGCGTCACAAATCTCACGCAAATCTTACTCAGCGTCACAAATCTCACGCAAATCTTACTCAGCGTCACAAATTTCACACAAATCTTACTCAGCGTCCCAATCTCACCGTAAATCTTACTCAGCATCACAAATCTCACGCAAATCTTACTCAGCGTCACAAATCTCACACAAATCTTACTCAGCGTCATAAATCTCACGCAAATCTTACTCAGCGTCACAAATCTCACACAAATCTTTACTCAGCGTCACAAATCTCACACAAATCTTACTCAGCGTCACAAATCTCACGCAAATCTTACTCAGCGTCACAATCTCACGCAAATCTTACTCAGCGTCACAAATCTCACGCAAATCTTACTCAGCGTCACAAATCTCACTGCAAATCTTACTCAGCGTCACAAATCTCACGCCAAATCTTACTCAGCGTCACAAATCTCACACAAATCTTACTCAGCGTAACAAATCTCACACAAATCTTACTCAGCGTCACAAATCTCACACAAATCTTACTCAGCGTCACAAATCTCACGCAAATCTTACTCAGCGTCACAAATCTCACGCAAATCTTACTCAGCGTCACAAATTTCACACAAATCTTACTCAGCGTCCCAAATCTCACGTAAATCTTACTCAGCATCACAAATCTCACGCAAATCTTACTCAGCGTCACAAATCTCACACAAATCTTACTCAGCGTCATAAATCTCACGCAAATCTTACTCAGCGTCACAAATCTCACACAAATCTTACTCAGCGTCACAAATCTCACACAAATCTTACTCAGCGTCACAAATCTCACACACATCTTACTCAACGTCACCAATCTCACACAAATCTTACTCAGCGTCACAAATCTCACACAAATCATACTCAGTGTCACAAATCTCACACAAATCTTTCTCAGCGTCACAAATCTCACACAAATCTACTCAGCGTCACAATCTCATGCAAATCTTACTCAGCATCACAAATCTCACGCAAATCTTACTCAGCGTCACAAATCTCACGCAAATCTTACTCAGCGTCACAAATCTCATGCAAATCTTACTCAGCGTCACAAATCTCACGCAAATCTTACTCAGCATCACAAATCTCACGCAAATCTTACTCAGCGTCACAAATCTCACACAAATCTTACTCAGCGTGACAAATCTCACACAAATCTTACTCAGCGTCACAAATCTTACACAAATCTTTCTCAGCGTCACAAATCTCACACAAATCTTACTCAGCGTCACAAATCTCACACAAATCTTACTCAGCGTCACAAATCTCACACAAATCTTACTCAGCGTCACAAATCTCACACAAATCTTACTCAGCGTCACAAATCTCACACAAATCTTTACTCAGCGTCACAAATTTCACACAAATCTTACTCAGCGTCACAAATCTCACACAAATCTTACTCAGCGTCACAAATCTCACACAAATCTTACTCAGCGTCACAAATCTCACACAAATCTTACTCAGTGTCACAAATCTCACGCAAATCTTACTCAGCATCACAAATATCACACAAATCTTACTCAGCGTCACAAATCTCACACAAATCGTACTCAGCATCACAAATCTCACACAAATCTTACTCAGCGTCACAAATCTCACACAAATCTTACTCAGCGTCACAAATCTCACACAAATCTTACTCAGCGTCACAAATCTCACACAAATCTTACTCAGTGTCACAAATCTCACGCAAATCTTACTCAGCGTCACAAATTTCACACAAATCTTACTCAGCGTCACAAATCTCACACAAATCTTACTCAGCGTCACAAATCTCACACAAATCTTACTCAGCGTCACAAATCTCACACAAATCTTACTCAGTGTCACAAATCTCACGCAAATCTTACTCAGCGTCACAAATTTCACACAAATCTTACTCAGCGTCACAAATCTCACACAAATCGTACTCAGCGTCACAAATCTCACACAAATCTTACTCAGCGTCACAAATCTCACACACATCTTACTCAGCGTCACAAATCTCACACAAATCTTACTCAGCGTCACAAATCTCACACAAATCTTACTCAGCGTCACAAATCTCACACAAATCGTACTCAGCGTCACAAATCTCACACAAATCTTACTCAGCGTCACAAATCTCACACACATCTTACTCAGCGTCACAAATCTCACACAAATCTTACTCAGCGTCACAAATCTCACACAAATCTTACTCAGCGTTACAAATCTCACACAAATCTTACTCAGCGTCACAAATCTCAAACAAATCTTACTCAGCGTCACAAATCTCACACAAATCTTACTCAGCGTCACAAATCTCACACAAATCTTACTCAGCGTCACAAATCTCACACAAATCGTACTCAGCGTCACAAATCTCACACAAATCTTACTCAGCATCACAAATCTCACACACATCTTACTCAGCGTCACAAATCTCACACAAATCTTACTCAGCGTCACAAATCTCACGCAAATCTTACTCAGCGTCACAAATCTCACACAAATCTTACTCAGCGTCACAAATCTCACACAAATCTTACTCAGCGTCACAAATCTCACACAAATCGTACTCAGCGTCACAAATCTCACACAAATCTTACTCAGCATCACAAATCTCACACAAATCTTACTCAGCGTCACAAATCTCACACAAATCATACTCAGCGTCACAAATCTCACACACATCTTACTCAGCGTCACAAATCTCACACAAATCTTACTCAGCGTCACAAATCTCACACAAATCTTACTCAGCATCACAAATCTCACACAAATCTTACTCAGCGTCACAAATCTCACACAAATCTTACTCAGCGTCACAAATCTCACACACATCTTACTCAGCGTCACAAATCTCACACAAATCTTACTCAGCGTCACAAATCTCACGCAAATCTTACTCAGCGTCACAAATCTCACACAAATCTTACTCAGCGTCACAAATCTCACACAAATCTTACTCAGCGTCACAAATCTCACACAAATCTTACTCAGCCCCCCCCCCCGTCCCACGCGTTGCACTGCTATCGAAACTTCCCCGAAACTCCGCAACTCGAGTTTGTTAAAGGAAGTTAAATAACTTTGTTTGTTTGTCTTTGTTGTTGTTGTTGTTGTTTGTTGCACAGGGGACGGAGTTGTCGTGAACTTCGAAACGATGAATCCCATTAAGGTCTCGACAAGTGAGTACGGAGCAACAGAGCCGAGTGCACCTCACTGGACCACAAAGCCGCGTTGCTTCGACACGTTTTCAGCTGTGAAACTCGATTCGAGGCCTTCGTGACTGCAGGAACTGCTCTTTGGGTACTTTCGGTAAAGTGACGTCGAGCGAAATTAAATTAAATCATGATTGAGTACGACGTTTCGATCGCAACACGGGCAACCATCATCAGGTAGAAATGAATGAGGAAAGAAACGTAGCAAAAAACTTGGAAATATAATGCGATACAACACAGAGAGTCGGCCAACACAACAGTCAACACCCCACCTGGTTGATTAACGTCCTTCCAAAGATTGCTAAATTTGAGAGACAAAACATAGACACGGAGACAGACAGACAGGCAGAGAGAGACTCAGACAGAGGCACACAGAGAGACACACAACATAGACACACAGAGAGAGACACAAGCAGAGAGAGACTCACACAGAGACACACAGAGAGAGACACACAACATAGAAACACAGAGAGAGACACAACATAGACACACAGAGAGAGACACAAGCAGAGAGAGACTCACACAGAGACACACAGAGAGAGACACAAGCAGAGAGAGACTCACACAGAGACGCACAGAGAAAGACACACAACATAGACACACAGAGACACACACAACATAGACACGGAGACAGACACACAGACAAGCAGAGAGAGACTCACACGGAGACACAGAGAGAGAGACACACAACATAGACACACATAGAAACACACAAGCAGAGAGAGACTCACACAGAGACACACAGAGAGAGACACACAACATAGAAACACAGAGAGAGACACACAACATAGACACACAGGGAGACACACAAGCAAAGAGAGACAACACAGAGACACACAGAGAGAGACTCACACAGACACACAGAGAGAGAGACTCACACAGAGACACACAGAGAGAGAGACACACAACATAGACACACAGGGAGACACACAAGCAGAGAGAGACTCACACAGAGACACACAGAGAGAGACACACAACATAGAAACACAGAGAGAGACACACAACATAGACACACAGGGAGACACACAAGCAGAGAGAGACAACACAGAGACACACAGAGAGAGACTCACACAGAGACACACAAGCAGAGAGAGACTCACACAGAGACACACAGAGAGAGACACACAACATAGACACACAGGGAGACACACAAACAGAGAGAGACTCACACGGAGACACACAGAGAGAGACTCACACAGAGACACACAGAGAGAGACTCACACAGAGACACACAGAGAGAGAGAGACACACAACATAGACACACAGGGAGACACACAAGCAGAGAAAGACTCACACAGAGACACACAGAGAGACACACAACATAGACACGGAGACAGACAGACAAGCAGAGAGAGACTCACACGGAGACACAGAGAGAGAGACACACAACATAGACACACAGGGAGACACACAATCAGAGAGAGACAACACAGAGAGACACACACAAGCAGAGAGAGACTCACACAGAGACACAGAGAGAGACACACAACATAGACACACAGAGAGACACACAAGCAGAGAGAGACTCACACAGAGACACACAGAGAGAGACACACAACATAGACACACAGAGAGACACAAGCAGAGAGGGACAACACAGAGACACACAGAGAGACACACAACATAGACACACAGAGAGACACACAAGCAGAGAGAGACTCACACAGAGGCACACAGAGAGAGACACACAACATAGACACACAGAGAGACACACAAGCAGAGAGGGACAACACAGAGACACACAGAGAGAGACACACAACATGGACACACAGGGAGACACACAAGCAGAGAGAGGCTCACACAGAGACACACAGAGAGAGACACACAACAAGGACACACAGACACACAAGCAGAGAGAGACAACATAGAGACACAGAGAGAGACTCACACAGAGACACACAGAGAGAGACAAACATAGACACACAGACAGACACACAAGCAGAGAGAGACTCACACAGAGACACACAGAGAGAGACACAGAGAGAGAGAGAGACAGAGAGACTCACACAGAGACACAGAGAGAGAGAGAGACTCACACATAGACACACAGAGAGAGACTCACACAGAGACACACAGAGAGACACACACATAGACACGGAGACAGACAGACACACAAGCAGAGAGAGACAACACAGAGACACAGAGAGAGACTCAACAACCCCACCCACTCACCCACTCACATACCCACCCACCCACTCACAAACCCACTCACATACTCCACCCACCCACTCCACTCACTAACATACTCACCCACCCACTCACATACCCACCCACCCACTCACATACCCACCCACCCACTCACATACCCACCCACCCACTCATATACCCACCCACCCACCCACTCACATACCCACCCACTCACATACCCACCCACTCACAAACCCACTCACATACTCCACCCACTCACAAACCCACTCACATACTCCACCCAACCACCCCATCCACTCACCCACCCACCCCATCCACTCACCCACCCCCCACCCACCCACCCACCCTACCCACCACGCCCACCCACCCACTCACAAACCCACTCACATACTCCACCCACCCACCCCACTCACTAACATACCCACCCACCCACTCACATACCCACCCACTCATATACCCAGCCACCCACCCACTCACATACCCACCCACCCACTCACATACCCACCCACCCACTCACATACCCACCCACCCACTCACAAACCCACTCACATACTCCACCCACTCACAAACCCACTCACATACTCCACCCAACCACCCCATCCACTCACCCACCCACCCCATCCACTCACCCACCCCCCACCCACCCACCAACCCACCCTACCCACCACGCCCACCCACCCACTCACCGCACCCCCTCCTGTCGATGCGATCTCCGCCACCCTCCCGCAAGGCTGCGGCATCGCCAACGCGTCGGTCCTGAGCGCCTGGCCCTGGCAGGTGACCATCACGAGGCTTGGGGACGACCTGCAGTGCCTCGGCTCCCTGCTGTCCAACTCCTGGGTGGTGACAGCGGCGAGCTGCCTGCTAGAGAGGTCAGCCCCGGGGCCTTCGTCACGGCAGTCCCCAGAATTGTCACCTAGAGGCCACCTCGAGTTCGGGATTTCGCGAGTTTTCCCACCGTATTGTCGAGTTACTAAATACGTTCATTAATCCCTCGCTAAGTGTCCCACTCCTGAGTTATCGAGTTACTAAATGTGTTCATTAATCCCTCGCTAAGTGTCACACTCCTGAGTTATCGAGTTACTAAATACGTTCATTAATCCCTGGCTAAGTGTCACACTCCTGAGTTATCGAGTTACTAAATGTGTTCATTAATCCCTCGCTAAGTATCCCACTTCTGAGATATCGAGTTACTAAATACGTTCATTAATCCCTGGCTAAGTGTCACACTCCTGAGTTATCGAGTTACTAAATGTGTTCATTAATCCTTCGCTAAGTATCCCACTTCTGAGATATCGAGTTACTAAATACGTTCATTAATCCCTGGCTAAGTGTCACACTCCTGAGTTATCGAGTTACTAAATGTGTTCATTAATCCCTCGCTAAGTGTCTCACTTCTGAGATATCGAGTTACTAAATACGTTCATTAATCCCTGGCTAAGTGTCACACTCCTGAGTTATCGAGTTACTAAATACGTTCATTAATCCCTGGCTAAGTGTCACACTCCTGAGTTATCGAGTTACTAAATGTGTTCATTAATCCCTCGCTAAGTGTCTCACTTCTGAGTTATCGAGTTACTAAATGTGTTCATTAATCCCTCGCTAAGTATCCCACTTCTGAGATATTGAGTTACTAAATACGTTCATTAATCCCTGGCTAAGTGTCACACTCCTGAGTTATCGAGTTACTAAATGTGTTCATTAATCCCTGGCTAAGTGTCACACTCCTGAGTTATCGAGTTACTAAATGTGTTCATCAATCCCACGCTAAGTGTCACACTCCTGAGGTATCGAGTTACTAAATACGTTCATTAATCCCTCGCTAAGTGTCACACTCCTGAGTTATCGAGTTACTAAATGTGTTCATTAATCCCTCGCTAAGTATCCCACTCCTGAGTTATCGAGTTACTAAATGTGTTCATTAATCCCTCACTAAGTGTCACACTCCTGAGTTATCGAGTTACTAAATGTGTTCATTAATGCCTGGCTAAGTGTCACACTTCTGAGTTATCGAGTTACTAAATGTGTTCATTAATCCCTCGCTAAGTGTCACACTCCTGAGTTATCGAGTTACTAAATGTGTTCATTAATCCCTGGCTAAGTGTCACACTCCTGAGTTATCGAGTTACTAAATGTGTTCATTAATCCCTCGCTAAGTGTCACACTCCTGAGTTATCGAGTTACTAAATGTGTTCATTAATCCCTCACTAAGTGTCTCACTTCTGAGTTATCGAGTTACTAAATGTGTTCATTAATCCCTCGCTAAGTGTCACACTCCTGAGTTATCAAGTTACTAAATGTGTTCATTAATCCCTCGCTAAGTATCCCACTTCTGAGATATCGAGTTACTAAATACGATCATTAATCCCTGGCTAAGTGTCCCACTCCTGAGATATCGAGTTACTAAATGTGTTCATTAATCCCTGGCTAAGTGTCACACTCCTGAGATATCGAGTTACTAAACGTGTTCATTAATCCCACGCTAAGTGTCACACTCCTGAGTTATCGAGTTACTAAATACGTTCATTAATCCCTCGCTAAGTGTCACACTCCTGAGTTATCGAGTTACTAAATGTGTTCATTAATCCCTGGCTAAGTGTCACACTCCTGAGTTATCGAGTTACTAAATGTGTTCATTAATCCCTCGCTAAGTGTCTCACTTCTGAGTTATCGAGTTACTAAATGTGTTCATTAATCCCTCGCTAAGTGTCACACTCCTGAGTTATCGAGTTACTAAATGTGTTCATTAATCCCTCGCCAAGTGTCAGACTCCTGAGTTATCGAGTTACTAAATGTGTTCATTAATCCCTGGCTAAGTGTCACACTCCTGAGTTATCGAGTTACTAAATGTGTTCATTAATCCCTGGCTAAGTGTCACACTCCTGAGTTATCGAGTTACTAAATGTGTTCATCAATCCCACGCTAAGTGTCACACTCCTGAGGTATCGAGTTACTAAATACGTTCATTAATCCCTCGCTAAGTGTCACACTCCTGAGTTATCGAGTTACTAAATGTGTTCATTAATCCCTCGCTAAGTATCCCACTCCTGAGTTATCGAGTTACTAAATGTGTTCATTAATCCCTCACTAAGTGTCACACTCCTGAGTTATCGAGTTACTAAATGTGTTCATTAATGCCTGGCTAAGTGTCACACTTCTGAGTTATCGAGTTACTAAATGTGTTCATTAATCCCTCGCTAAGTGTCACACTCCTGAGTTATCGAGTTACTAAATGTGTTCATTAATCCCTGGCTAAGTGTCACACTCCTGAGTTATCGAGTTACTAAATGTGTTCATTAATCCCTCGCTAAGTGTCACACTCCTGAGTTATCGAGTTACTAAATGTGTTCATTAATCCCTCACTAAGTGTCTCACTTCTGAGTTATCGAGTTACTAAATGTGTTCATTAATCCCTCGCTAAGTGTCACACTCCTGAGTTATCAAGTTACTAAATGTGTTCATTAATCCCTCGCTAAGTATCCCACTTCTGAGATATCGAGTTACTAAATACGATCATTAATCCCTGGCTAAGTGTCCCACTCCTGAGATATCGAGTTACTAAATGTGTTCATTAATCCCTGGCTAAGTGTCACACTCCTGAGATATCGAGTTACTAAACGTGTTCATTAATCCCACGCTAAGTGTCACACTCCTGAGTTATCGAGTTACTAAATACGTTCATTAATCCCTCGCTAAGTGTCACACTCCTGAGTTATCGAGTTACTAAATGTGTTCATTAATCCCTGGCTAAGTGTCACACTCCTGAGTTATCGAGTTACTAAATGTGTTCATTAATCCCTCGCTAAGTGTCTCACTTCTGAGTTATCGAGTTACTAAATGTGTTCATTAATCCCTCGCTAAGTGTCACACTCCTGAGTTATCGAGTTACTAAATGTGTTCATTAATCCCTCGCCAAGTGTCAGACTCCTGAGTTATCGAGTTACTAAATGTGTTCATTAATCCCTCGCTAAGTGTCTCACTTCTGAGTTATCGAGTCACTAAATGTGTTCATTAATCCATCGCTAAGTGTCACACTCCTGAGTTATCGAGTTACTAAATCTGTTCATTAATCCCTCGCCAAGCGTCTCACTTCTGAGTTATCGAGTTACTAAATGTGTTCATTAATCCCTCGCTAAGTGTCACACTCCTGAGTTATCGAGTTACTAAATGTGTTCATTAATCCCTCGCTAAGTGTCACACTCCTGAGTTATCGAGTTACAAAATGTGTTCATTAATCCCTCGCTAAGTGTCCCACTTCTGAGTTATTGAGTTACTAAATGTGTTCATTAATGATTGGCTAAGTGTCCCACTTCTGAGTTATCGGGTTACTAAATGTGTTCATTAATCCCTGGCTAAGTGTCACACTCCTGAGATATCGAGTTACTAAATGTGTTCATTAATCCCTGGCTAAGTGTCACACTCCTGAGTTATCGAGTTACTAAATGTGTTCATTAATCCCTCGCTAAGTGTCACACTTCTGAGATATCGAGTTACTAAATGTGTTCATTAATGCCTGGCTAAGTGTCACACTTCTGAGTTATCGAGTTACTAAATGTGTTCATTAATGCCTGGCTAAGTGTCCCACTTCTGAGTTATCGAGTTACTAAATGTGTCCATCAATCCCTCGCTAAGTGTCACACTCCTGAGTTATCGAGTTACTAAATGTGTTCATTAATCCCTTGCCAAGTGTACCACTCCTGAGTTATCGAGTTACTAAATGTGTTCATTAATCCCTCGCTAAGTGTCTCACTCCTGAGTTATCGAGTTACTAAATGTGTTCATTAATCCCTGGCTGTGTCCGCCTTCAGAATTCTCGAGTTACTCAATGTGTTCATTAATCCTTCATTATACAATTCCTATATTTGCGAGTTTCCCATATTTGCGAGTTACTGAATATGCACAATAATTCCCTACTCGCGAGCGTACATGCCAGAACCAACTTTCGCACTCGTGTACATGTGTTTTTGCATGTGTGTAAGCGCGTGTATGTGTGTATGTACGTGTGTGTCTCCTCGCGGTGCCGGATGGGCAACTCTGTCGTGGACAATGCTGTGGGGGGAGGGCCAATTCTGATTGGCTCCTCCCCTCATGGCGTCTGTGACCACCACAGTGGCTAAACGGGGGCTCTGGACGGGTGCGAGGGGCTGGTAACCCCTCCACATTCAATTAATTACCACTAAACCACGAGGATCCAGGGGGACAGGCGTCTATGACGTCTAATGGCCAAACCCCAATTGGCGGAGCCAGGAGATTGAATCTCTATCCTCGGGGCTCATCCAGAAACAACGAAAAGCCACTACGGATGGCCACGTGGAATGTTCGAACACTCACTGCGGAGGAGAGGCTACCACTCCTCTGTCGGGAGCTGGACCAGTACCGTCTGGATCTCTGTGGCATTCAGGAGGTAAGGTGGGCCGGTTCTGGCTCCTGCCACCATGAGGAGTGGACAGTCCTCTACTTGGGGCAGCAGACTGCCAAACAACAGGGTGTGGCTCTTCTTTTGAACAAAAGAAAGAAGGGGGTGTGGGAGCGTGGCGGTGAGGTGTGGGAAGCTGTAAGCCCCAGGCTACTTTGGGCTCACCTTCCCATCAACCGGAGGCGAGGAGTGGTGGTCGTGGTTACTTATGTCCCCCACCGAAGACGAACATCCGTGGAGGGATGCAGGCAAAGCCGATGAGTCAGATGCCTTCTATGACCTCCTGTCACAGATGCTGGCTAAAGTGGCACCTCGGGATAGAGTCATCATGTTGGGTGACTTCAATGCCCGAGTTGGTCATGATGCTGGCACCTGGCCTGGAGTGATTGGAGGGCATGGACCAGATCAGCTCAATAACAACGGTAGGAGGCTGCTAGATTTTTCTGCAGCCCATGTGCTTGTAATTACCAACCGGCTGTTCCGGCATCAGCGCATCCACACAACATCATGGATGCATGCCGGTTCCAAGCAAGAACATTTGCTGGACTACATAGTGACGGACCAGCGGATGCGAGCCCATGGCCTTGACACCAGGACCTACCATGGAGCTAATCTGCCCTCTGACCATCGACTAGTCATCTGTAAGATGCACCTGCCATTCTTCCACTCCGGTGGTGGGTGTACACCCAGGACCCCATTCCAACCTAAAGTGGCCTGGTCTCAGTTATCTGATGAAAGTTGCAAGCGAGAATTTCATCATCGCTTGCGGCTGGGATTGGCATCATCCCCCACTCCTCCTGATGTCGAGGGTAAATGTGCAAGGTTTAGGACTGTGACTCATGCAGCTGCAATGGCTGCTTTGGGAATGCGGTCCAGACCTCCCCTGAGACCCTGGCTGACAGAGGTGTTCAGGATGGTTGAGAAAAAGCGACAGGCCCACTGTCATCGGCTACAGAATCCCACGTCAGAGAATGAGGAGGCTTACCGCTGCCTTCACTCGGAGGTTCGGAGAGCCGTGAGGTGCTGCAAGGATGGGTGGTGGTCATGGGTTGCTGAGGAGATGGAGTCTACCTCAGTGGCCCGCGATCACAAATCTCTATTTAACTCCATCAAAAAGTAACCTGCAGCGCGTCATTAGGGGAAAAAACGGTGATCCAATCTCCGACCCCCAGGAACAGGTTTGCAGATTTGCTGAGCATTTCTGTGAGGTCCTGGGGGAGGGAGAATCCCTCAGCCAGGAAAACATCGTGGCACAAAGTGAGGATGACCCTGCTGAGGCTGCGGTGCCTCAAATATTGTAAGAAGTCACCCCCTGTGAGTGGCTGGCTGAAGTACCATCTGTTGAGGAAGTACTGAAGGCGATCCGGAGTCTGAGACCAGGAAAGGCAGCGGGCAGAGATGATCTCCCAAGCGAAATGCTGAGGGAGGGTGGCGTTTGTGCACAGACTGCACTACATGACATCATAACAACAGTCTGGACCACTGGACGGGTTCCGCAGGATTGGAAGGATGCCCTGGTGGTCCCCTCTTTAAGAAGGGGGACCGCACAGACTGTAACAAAAACAGGGGCATCTCACTCCTCAGTGTGCCGGGAAAGGTCCTGGCAAGGATTATTCAACATCGCCTTGCCAGGCACGCTGAGGAGAGGCTTGCGGAGCCCCAATGCGGTTTCAGGAAAGGGCGGTCTTGCACAGATGCCATATTTTCTGTCTGCTACAGCAGAGGTGTAGGGAATTCCAACAAGACCTACATCTCTGCTTTATTGACCTGGTCAAGGCCTATGTTACCATCAGTAGGCCTGGGCTCTGGGTTGTTCTTCGTGCTTTTGGAGTCCCTGACCCTCTGCTCACGATCATTAAGGACCTTCATGATGGTGAGCGGGCCCGGGTAAAACTACGTGGCCGGGAGTCAGAGCCATTCCCTGTACACCTTGGGGTGCGACAGGGATGTCCTCTGGCTCCCACATTATTTAACATCTATTTTGACCACGTAGTTCGTGAAACCTTCAATAGCTGTACCGGGGGAATCTCCATTTGGTACAGATATAATGGGAGGCTGATCGATGCCCGGGTGCAGTCAAGGGATGGCTCCCTATTGCTCAACCACGTTATGTATGCTGATGATTTGGTAATAGCTGCTCATTCAGAGGAGGAGTTGGAGACGGTGCTGCTGAGACTGGAGCGTGCCACTAAGAGGTGGGGCCTTACCATCATCCCCACCAAAACTAAGCACCTGCCTGGGTATTTTGTACCATCGGACACTCCACCCCCTCAACTCCCAATCGGTGATGGGGCAGTTGTGGAGAGAGTGGAGAGTTTCCCATACCTGGGCAGTGTGCTTATGTCTGGCTCCAGTTTAACAGCAGAGGTCTCACTCCGAATCAGTCGAGCGGCAATAGCTTTTCATCGGTTGCGTAACGCTGTGTGGAAGCTACCTGGTCTGTCGCTCCGCACTAAGCTTCAGGTCTTCTCGGCCACGGTCATTCCCTTCCTTCTCTACGCTTGCGAAACGTGGACCCACCTAATGGAACATCTTCGCCGGTTAGAAACATTTAGGCTGGCCTGCCTACGATCCACCCTGGGTTTAACCAGACTGGATTGTGTGAGGAGCTCAAAAATCCTTGAAAGATCTAGGCAAGCTCCCATCGGTGAGCTCCTCCGGCGGGCAAGGCTGCGATGGCTGGGTCATGTAGCCCGCATGCCCAGCCACCGCATGCCGAAACAGCTTTTGTTTGGCCCGATCGAGGGGGCTAAGCGGGCGCGGTCCGGGCTAGAGAAGAGATGGAGTGATGTGGTACAGGAGGACGTGGAGCTGAGTGGACTTGCCGATGACCGGTACCAGCGGTGTCAAGTTCGGCCTCTGAGGAGGAGGCTCGTGAAGGACGCTGCTGGGCAGTTGGAGGCAGTCGCCCTCCAACAACAACGGAGGGCGGAGGAGCGACGCTCAGAACAACGAGCGGAGCGCCGGGTGGCTAAAGCATAGCAGGTTGGCACAGTAGGGGGCACAGGTGGTGCATCAGCCAGTCATCTCAGTCAGTCGACCCGTGGCACCTGGGTCTGCCCCGTGACCTCCTGCCAGCGGGCGTTTGACACTTCACGTGGCCTCAGGGTGCACATGGCCTGGCACAAGCGTCGTGGTGACGTCACCGCCACTTAGTGGCGAATGGCGGTTGTTGTTGTGTGTGTATGTGTGTATGTGTGTGTACGTGTATACGTGTGTGTATGTGTGTGTATGTATATGTGTGTATGTGTGTGTATGTGTACGTGTATGTGTGTGTGTATGTATGTGTACATGTGTACGTGTGTGTGTGCGCGTGTGTATGTGTGTGTGTATGTGTGTGTGTATATGTGTATGTATGTATGTGTACCTGTATGTATGTGTATGTGTGTGTATGTGTGTGTATGTGTGTATGTATGTGTGTGTATGTGTGTGTGTGTGTATATGTGTATATATGTGTATGTATGTGTACGTGTGTACGTGTGTGTGCGTGTGTGCGTGTACGCGCGTGCATGTCCGCTCAGCCCCAACAACTACACCTGGATCTGCGCCACGGTCTCGGGCGAGCGTCTGGCGGCGACGTCCGTGGCGGTCCACCCCAAGTTCTCCGCGGCGACCGGCGGCGGCCACGACGTCGCTATGCTGCGGCTGGGCCAGCCGGCCACGTTGGGGCCGGCGGCAGCCCAGGCGGTGTGCCTGCCCAGGCGACACGAGCAGAGCCCCACGCTGGGACGCAGCTGCCAGGCGCTGGGCTTGAGGCGCAGCGACGGTGGGTAGTGTATAGTGTATAGCTAGTAGGTTAGTGTACGTCATGTAGTGTGTAGTGTATAGCTAGTAGGTTAGTGTACGTCATGTAGTGTGTAGTGTATAGCTAGTAGGTTAGTGTACGTCATGTAGTGTATAGCTAGTACGTTAGTGTACGTCATGCAGTGTATAGTGTATAGCTAGTAGGTTAGTGTACGTCATGTAGTGTATAGTGTATAGCTAGTACGTTAGTGTACGTCATGTAGTGTGTAGTGTATAGCTAGTAGGTTAGTGTACGTCATGTAGTGTATAGTGTATAGCTAGTAGGTTAGTGTACGTCAAGTAGTGTATAGTATACAGCTAGTATGTTAGTGTACGTCATGTAGTGTATAGTGTATAGCTAGTAGGTTAGTGTACGTTGTGTAGTGTATAGCTAGTAGGTTAGTGTACGTCATGTAGTGTATAGTGTATAGCTAGTAGGTTAGTGTACGTCATGTAGTGTATAGTGTACAGCTAGTACGTTAGTGTACGTCATGTAGTGTATAGTGTATAGCTAGTAGGTTAGTGTACGTCATGTAGTGTATAGTGTATAGCTAGTAGGTTAGTGTACGTCATGTAGTGTGTAGTGTATAGCTAGTAGGTTAGTGTACGTCATGTAGTGTGTAGTGTATAGCTAGTAGGTTAGTGTACGTCATGTAGTGTGTAGTGTATAGCTAGTAGGTTAGTGTACGTCATGTAGTGTATAGCTAGTAGGTTAGTGTAGGTCATGTAGTGTGTAGTGTATAGCTAGTAGGTTAGTGTACGTCATGTAGTGTGTAGTGTATAGCTAGTAGGTTAGTGTACGTCATGTAGTGTGTAGTGTATAGCTAGTAGGTTAGTGTACGTCATGTAGTGTATAGCTAGTAGGTTAGTGTACGTCATGTAGTGTGTAGTGTATAGCTAGTAGGTTAGTGTACGTCATGTAGTGTATAGCTAGTAGGTTAGTGTACGTCATGTAGTGTGTAGTGTATAGCTAGTACATTAGTGTACGTCATGTAGTGTATAGTGTATAGCTAGTAGGTTAGTGTACGTCATGTAGTGTATAGTGTATAGCTAGTACGTTAGTGTACGTCATGTAGTTTGTAGTGTATAGCTAGTACGTTAGTGTACATCTTGTAGTCTGTAGTGTATAGCTAGTACGTTAGGGTACGTCATGTAGTGTATAGTGTATAGCTAGTAGGTTAGTGTACGTCATGTAGTGTATAGTGTATAGCTAGTACGTTAGTGTACGTCATGTAGTTTGTAGTGTATAGCTAGTACGTTAGTGTACGTCATGTAGTCTGTAGTGTATAGCTAGTACGTTAGGGTACGTCATGTAGTGTATAGTGTATAGCTAGTACATTAGTGTACGTCATGTAGTGTATAGTGTACAGCTAGTACGTTAGTGTACGTCATGTAGTGTATAGTGTATAGCTAGTACGTTAGTGTACGTCATGTAGTGTATAGCTAGTAGGTTAGTGTACGTCATGTAGTGTATAGTGTATAGCTAGTAGGTTAGTGTACGTCATGTAGTGTATAGTGTATAGCTAGTACGTTAGTGTACGTCATGTAGTGTATAGTGTATAGCTAGTAGGTTAGTGTACGTCATGTAGTGTATAGTGTACAGCTAGTACGTTAGTGTACGTCATGTAGTGTATAGCTAGTAGGTTAGTGTACGTCATGTAGTGTGTAGTGTATAGCTAGTACGTTAGTGTACGTCATGTAGTGTATAGTGTACAGCTAGTAGGTTAGTGTACGTCATGTAGTGTGTAGTGTATAGCTAGTACGTTAGTGTACGTCATGTAGTGTGTAGTGTATAGCTAGTACGTTAGTGTACGTCATGTAGTGTACAGCTAGTAGGTTAGTGTACGTCATGTAGTGTATAGTGTACAGCTAGTACGTTAGTGTATGTCATGTAGTGTACAGCTAGTATGTTAGTGTACGTCATGTAGTGTGTAGTGTATAGCTAGTACGTTAGTGTACGTCATGTAGTGTGTAGTGTATAGCTAGTACGTTAGTGTACGTCATGTAGTGTATAGTGTATAGCTCGTACGTTAGTGTACGTCATGTAGTGTATAGTGTATAGCTCGTACGTTAGTGTACGTCATGTAGTGTATAGTGTATAGCTCGTACGTTAGTGTACGTCATGTAGTGTATAGCTAGTACGTTAGTGTACGTCATGTAGTGTGTAGTGTATAGCTAGTACGTTAGTGTACGTCTTGTAGTGTGTAGTGTATAGCTCGTATGTTAGTGTACGTCATGTAGTGTATAGTGTATAGCTAGTACGTTAGTGTGCGTCATGTAGTGTGTAGTGTATAGCTAGTAGGTTAGTGTACGTCATGTAGTGTATAGTGTATAGCTCGTACGTTAGTGTACGTCATGTAGTGTATAGCTAGTACATTAGTGTACGTCATGTAGTGTGTAGTGCATAGATAGTACGTTAGTGTACGTCATGTAGTGTATAGTGTACAGCTAGTACGTTAGTGTACGTCATGTAGTGTATAGCTAGTACTTTAGTGTACGTCATGTTGTGTGTAGTGTATAGCTAGTACGTTAGTGTACGTCATGTAGTGTATAGTGTATAGCTCGTACGTTAGTGTACGTCATGTAGTGTATAGTGTATAGCTCGTACGTTTAGTGTACGTCATGCAGTGGTATAGCTAGTACGTTAGTGTACGTCATGTAGTGTATTAGTGTATAGCTCGTACGGTTAGTGTACGGCATGGTAGTGTGTAGTGTATAGCTAGTACGTAGTGTACGTCATGTAGTGGTAGTGTAGCTAGTACAGTTAGTGTACGTCATGTAGTGTGTACATTGCATAGATAGTACGTTAGTGTAGCGTCCATGTAGTGTATAGGTACCGCTAGTACGTTAGTGGTACTGGTCATTGTAGTGGTATAGCTAGTACTTTTAGTGTATCGTCATTGTTGTGTGTAGTGTATAGCTAGTACGTTATTGTACGTCATGTAGTGTAGTAGTGTATAGGCTCAGTACGGTTAGTGTACCGTCATGTAGTGTATAGTGTATCGCTCGTACGTTAGTGTGTACGTCATAGTGTCTAGTGTCTAGCTAGTACGTTAGTGTACGTCATGTAGTGTATAGTGTATAGCTCGTACGTTAGTGTACGTCATGTAGTGTGTAGTGTATAGCTAGTACGTTAGTGTACGTCATGTAGTGTGTAGTGTATAGCTAGTACGTTAGTGAACGTCATGTAGTGTATAGTGTATAGCTAGTACGTTAGTGTACGTCATGTAGTGTGTAGTGTATAGCTAGTACGTTAGTGTACGTCATGTAGTGTATAGTGTATAGCTAGTACGTTAGTGAACGTCATGTAGTGTATAGTGTATAGCTAGTACGTTAGTGTACGTCATGTAGTGTGTAGTGTATAGCTAGTACGTTAGTGTACGTCATGTAGTGTATAGTGTATAGCTAGTACGTTAGTGTACGTCATGTAGTGTGTAGTGTATAGCTAGTACGTTAGTGTACGTCTTGTAGTGTGTAGTGTATAGCTCGTATGTTAGTGTACGTCATGTAGTGTATAGTGTATAGCTAGTACGTTAGTGTGCGTCATGTAGTGTGTAGTGTATAGCTCGTACGTTAGTGTACGTCATGTAGTGTATAGTGTATAGCTCGTACGTTAGTGTACGTCATGTAGTGTATAGCTAGTACATTAGTGTACGTCATGTAGTGTGTAGTGCATAGATAGTACGTTAGTGTACGTCATGTAGTGTATAGTGTACAGCTAGTACGTTAGTGTACGTCATGTAGTGTATAGCTAGTACTTTAGTGTACGTCATGTTGTGTGTAGTGTATAGCTAGTACGTTAGTGTACATCATGTAGTGTATAGTGTATAGCTCGTACGTTAGTGTACGTCATGTAGTGTATAGTGTATAGCTCGTACGTTAGTGTACGTCATGCAGTGTATAGCTAGTACGTTAGTGTACGTCATGTAGTGTATAGTGTATAGCTCGTACGTTAGTGTACGTCATGTAGTGTGTAGTGTATAGCTAGTACGTTAGTGTACGTCATGTAGTGTGTAGTGTATAGCTAGTACGTTAGTGAACGTCATGTAGTGTATAGTGTATAGCTAGTACGTTAGTGTACGTCATGTAGTGTGTAGTGTATAGCTAGTACGTTAGTGTACGTCATGTAGTGTATAGTGTATAGCTAGTACGTTAGTGAACGTCATGTAGTGTATAGTGTATAGCTAGTACGTTAGTGTACGTCATGTAGTGTGTAGTGTATAGCTAGTACGTTAGTGTACGTCATGTAGTGTATAGTGTATAGCTAGTACGTTAGTGTACGTCATGTAGTGTATAGTGTATAGCTAGTACGTTAGTGTACGTCATGTAGTGTATAGTGTATAGCTAGTACGTTAGTGAACGTCATGTAGTGTGTAGTGTATAGCTAGTACGTTAGTGTACGTCATGTAGTGTGTAGTGTATAGCTCGTACGTTAGTGTACGTCATGTAGTTTATAGCTAGTACGTTAGTGTACGTCATGTAGTGTATAGTGTATAGCTAGTACGTTAGTGTACGTCATGTAGTGTATAGTGTATAGCTAGTACGTTAGTGTACGCCATGTAGTGTATAGTGTATAGCTAGTACGTTAGGGTATGTCATGTAGTGTATAGTGTATAGCTCGTACGTTAGTGTACGTCATGTAGTGTATAGTGTATAGCTCGTACGTTAGTGTACGTCATGTAGTATATAGTGTATAGCTAGTACGTTAGTGTACGTCATGTAGTGTATAGTGTGTAGCTCGTACGTTAGTGTACGTCATGTAGTGTATAGTGTATAGCTAGTACGTTAGTGTACGTCATGTAGTGTATAGTGTATAGCTAGTACGTTAGTGTACGTCATGTAGTGTATAGTGTATAGCCCGTACGTTAGTGTACGTCATGTAGTGTATAGTGTATAGCTCGTACGTTAGTGTACGTCATGTAGTGTATAGTGTATAGCTAGTACGTTAGTGTACGTCATGTAGTGTATAGTGTATAGCTAGTA